GCATACATACTACTCTATGCCTGTAGCGTCACACGAGCGGTATATCTCGAGTTGATGCCCTGCTTACACACAAGAAAGTTTATCGAGAGTTTTAAGAAATTCATCGCAAGGAAAGGGAGACCAAGCAAAGTCTACTCTGACAATGCAAAAACGTTTGTTTCAGCAGCAAACTGGTTACGAACAGCTCAAAACGATGAAAAGTTAAACGAATTCCTCAGCAAGAATCGAATAAGATGGCAGTTCAACCTGAGTTGCGCCCCATGGTGGGGTGGCCAGTTCGAGCGCTTAATCGGATTGGTAAAAAGGGCTCTACATAAAACAATTGGCAAAGGGTCGCTGAGTTGGGACGAGCTGAAGGAGGTCCTCGTAGACATCGAAGTAGCATTGAATACAAGACCACTCAGCTACATGGAAGATGATGTACAGCTACCAACGCTAACGCCTAACTCCATGATGTTCATTGGTTCTACATTCGCGCCAGAGCTGGAAGCACATCACATACAAGAAAAGGGTCTACGCAAGCGTGCAAGGTATTTGTTAAAGTGCAAGCAAGCAATGTGGCGGAGATGGTCAACGGAATATCTGCGCGGTCTACGGGAGCGGCATAACCAAAATCACAAGACGTCGTCGTTCACGGTGAAAAAGGGTGACGTGGTTATTATACAATCGGATGAACGAAATCGTGGAAAGTGGCCTCTCGGTGTTGTCGACGAGCTGTACAAAGGACGTGATGGTGTTGTTCGTGCGGTGAAACTTCATGCACGAAAAACCTACCTTGAACGAGCAGTGAACCACCTGTATCCACTCGAGTTATCCTGTGACCGTAGAGAAACAAAGGAACCTATCAACTTAAACCCAGAAGCGGCGTCGTTCCGACCAAGACGAGATGCTGCAGTGGCAGCTCAACAACGCATTAACTCTTTTCGGTCACAAGCCATTCGCATCATATTACGACCCATCATTCTAGTATAAATATCTCGGCGAGTATTGACCCCCCTTTTAAATAAAACCCACCATTGAAATCCTCACAAAATAACCTTTCGAACGGGGGGTCAAGTGCCGTCAAAACATTACACAAACCGAAACAATCATATATTTACTCACCGCTTGACCAAAGATTCTAAATTTCATATCCACAAAATCTTGAATATCCCTTGAACTTTTCGTCATTTGCGGAACGGCTATATGTGTAAAATACTCTTTGTATTCAAGCGCTTTTGTGTACAAAATTTCGTTTGAATACGACGAGTAGAAATATTTATTTTGAATTTTTCAAAATGTTCGGGTTTTACTCGCAATTGCGTACATTGCGCAATAATTGGCCAATAAGAAGCTCCTGTGGCCGGGATGACGTCAAACTCACGCGTGTAGATGCAATTTGACCTTGCGAATCCATTTCTGGCCTTTCCAGGGTCATACGATACAAGCGTCGCATTGTTTTGACGGTTTTCAGTCGTATTTCCGGTTGGGATTAACTCACTTTGAGCTCACAGTCGGACAAGAAATGGAAATATATTGATAAAAGTTACAGATTTGAAGATACAGGCTTGCAAATAACACTTTAGATAGTGTTTTTAATGGGGATTCTAACAAGACTATTACAAAGACGATATGTTCGAAGGGGCCGAAGTTATTTTCGGCGAAAGGTATGGCTAGTCTATATTTTGTTCAGACAATTGCGTAATTTGATACAATATGATCGTGTTTGACTTTCAAAGGCCCATAAATCGCTACAATGTTGATAATGACTAAAACTATATGGAAGAATTAGTTAAATCTTTTATTTCTGAATCGAATGGTGGTATTTCTGTCTTCATAGCATGCACAGAACCGAAGATATGAAATTTCTCGCCATCGATCTCTCAGCATCGATATAACTGGGTTGTGATGCAAAAGAGTTAAAGAAGTAGCAGAAGTAGAACGTTGACAAAAACTGTATAGTGCAAATTGAACACTGAACTTCCATAGAACTTTATCCTTTATTAGTACTGTTTGGTTAGACCAGTCTCCTTTGAGGGACATATACCTCGCTGTAAGGTATATGGGGGGAGAGTGTCATAAACTGTCGTAATTTAGAATTAGTATTTATGTTCATGCGTGGGACGCGCAAGTCCAAACTTTAAACACTTCGGAAAGTTCCGGATTATACCGGTGGTTGTTGTTTTTTCCAGGAGAGAACTTAAAAATAAAAACATGTGGCTGTGAAACTGTGAAACTTGTGATTTTGTAATAGATATTATACTGTGTTTTGTTGTGATTTATTTTGGGCGATACTTGGAGGCAATCCCCAACAATAGAACCAACGTTTCAAAGTTTTGGGAAGATAATTATTGCATAGAAAAAGACATGAAAGATTTAAATTGTCCAAGCCCAGAGGAACTATTTTCTCATTTCCAACAAACCAGTCAAGCAAGACACCTTAGCTTGGATTCATTGAAGGTTAGTTTTAGTTTTAATAGCTTCATCATCGTATAAATATTAGCAGATGAACGGTGGTCCAACAGAGCAAAGGCCCAATTAAACTGGACTATCGCAGACTACAACTACAGTTAAGATTTATGTAAAATAAATGAGACATGCGGTTCTGATAGTGTCATGACGGTTTAGATACTGTTGAACCGCCTCTACACATTATATAAACTAAGTACAAGTTGGTAATTCATAAGAGTCAACTTTGTTAGGTAATGGGCTTTAATAGCCCTTTTAAAAGCTAAATTAGTATCTGTCTCTTTAATTTCCCTAGAAAGGGAATTCCATGCTCTAACAACCCTAGGAAAATATGAGTTATAGAAGTAATTCGTCCTACATTTAAATCTACAAAGTTATTAGCATCATGCGATCTAATTAAGTATTTAGTCTTGGGTTTTCTTTGAACAAAAATGTCGAAGTTTAAGTGATATTAACCAAGTATACATTTGTGGAAAAACTAAATCCCAGATATCCCGACGGTACTCAAGAGGAAGTAATTTAAGTTTCGATAACCTTCCTTTGTATGTCATGTCTTTAGGATAAACTTAGTTGCACGCCATTGTACATTTTCGAGGAGCAATGCTCAAGCTGTGGTAGGACCAATGAACAGTATAAAGTAAAGTCTTCCTTGTATCGGGATCTTTTAAATCTTTACATACACGTTTAATCAGACCGAGAACTTTGTTTGCCTTTGAAGTAATGTTGGAAATGTGCAAATGCCAATTCAAATAATCAGAAACAGTGATCCCAAGGTCTCTTTAACTGTTCTGACATTGTCCAGGACTGTCCCTTTCATAGTATAGGTTACATCATATACTTACTGAAATGTCATCTTCACCTTTTTGGAAGCACACGTCCTACAAGAGAAACTACAAATAAATATATCCAAAACAATTCATCTAAGTTCATTTTCAAACTTGCATGGTCAATTAAGCATGAACTTGCACAATAGTTAGACTAGTTAGTTAACAAGAGGCTAGATGGGAGTTTACACTTGGAATTTATGGCAAGAATATAATTGTAGCATAATTATTTTTAATTACTTTTGTCTATAGGTCATCACATGTAGTCTGGGAAAAGGAATAAAACTCAACAAGAAACGATGTAAGAATCAAAAACGGTTGATACAAGCCAATTAAATACTGTACATGATGACATTAAAACTACCTGCAGTAAGGTATCTAATCAATTACTTGACAACTATCTACAACACCAAGAGGAAATGCAATTCCAGGCAAAAACTTCATCGGCATTGAAAGAAAAGATAAAAGCGCCTTCCACAAGAAAACAAATGTTTGACATTTTGAAAGGTAAAGGTTTATACAAGAAATTTCCTCAAAGTCATTTCAAGAAATTTGAGAGATGGCTGAAATCTCCTTCTGGTGGACAATTAAAGTGCACAGACAAAATTGTTAGTGAAGTTAACAGGTAATTATATTTAGATATACAGCATAGATATTCAAAGCATTAAAATTTATAACAACATATTGAACGCTCTCTGGTTTAAAATATTTAACAAGCTTTCTGCTGCAGCCTTCAATGTGCAATTTACAGTGAGATGTGACAACGGTTTAGAATAACATATACTGACAAAAACTGAAGGCTACATACTAGCTGGCAGCCGAATTTAGCTAATTAAATCTTTTAAACCAGAGAGCGCCCCATGAAAGCAAGCAATTAATTCCATTTCTATATATAGGTACTGTATTTTTGCAACCGTGAGAAAGCAACATGGAAACATTTACTCGATCAGAAACTGTTTAACAATTATTTGATTCTAACCAAAGAAGCAGGTCTGGGGCCGGACGGTCTAAAAACAAAGGTTGAAAGGTCACAATTGCACTTAAATTTCTTGCCCATAAAAAACAAAGCTTCGTCGAAAGTGTGACACCAAAATAGCCGAGTACAAGGGATGGATGAAACCATTAGCAAAACAAAAGAAAGTTTTGCGAATGAAAAACTTGTGGCATAATGAATTTATGCGGTTTCAACTTAAACATGGAGGATCTCAACACTGCTGTCTCAGAAGAGACAATAAACTGGTTTATTATGATCATGAAAAACGCAATGTCAAATAAGAAACCCAAGAGGAATATCATGTCATAGTCTACACACAACAATAACACAAGGAAGTGCAATAAGGGCCGGAGCATTTCAGTTCATGACCTTAATCGAACTAAATAATCCTGTCATATATATATATATCACTTACCGATGGAACAATATACAACATTGTCTTTGTTCTGAACCACAAAACATTCGCTACTCATGGCCCTCTGGCTATACCCTTTGCAGAGACTGTTTGGGTCCAGCTGCACAACTACTTGAAGTATGTCAGACCACAGGTGAAACAGCAGTTACCACACCAGGAACTTGTACTCTTGAACACGTCTGGAACCATGATAACCAAACCTGGAAAACCAGTGACAAAAAAGCATGACAAACACATTACGACAACAAAGATTCAACATGCCATAGCAACCGCCGGTAACGAACTCTTGACAGACGTTGAAAGGAGGGCAGTCGCGAAGGGCATCGGCCATACCATGGAGACTTGACCATTAAAAATGTACATGTGAGCATCGAAGGGCAGAAAAAACTCCATAATAAGAAAAGCTGTAAGGTCTCTATGAATGAAATTACTATAATAGTGCTTTTTTAGTTCCTAATAAACATTAGTGAATCATATACAGATCTGAATTAGTGAACCAACATACAAAATTATCAAATTGACAAAATTGTTTGTGTCAATAATGCTTTGTATAGGGTAGAATAATAGAATATCTGGTCATGTATCACTATATGTAACCAAGAGACTATTGGAACATTGCCTCGCACAAACCATTAAAGACTATGTCGTGTGTTTACATTTCGAACTGCTATATTTGTAAAATAAGACATGCTAACTGCATATCTAACACTTTTCTGGTTCACAATTGTAAATTAATATAAACTAGAGAATGTTTCAATTCAAAAAAGTTTGAAAGATGCTAAATTTGGGCAATGTTTATGCGCAGAACAAACTTGACATGATCTTTTATAAAAACACATGGAATTTTGTGCACCATAAAAATGTTTTTATACTTTACAAATAGCATGGGAAGGCTATTTTACAAGCCAAAAATATGTTCCTAGAACACCAGTCTCGCCATCGATTTCCAGGCCAGCAAAATCTTGTTTGACATCCATGCCCATCTGCGAGAACCTTGTTAGCTTTTGATTTTGGTATAGAAGTAATTCTGTAATTTATATTTATTGATTATTTTTTCCTATACTTCAGTAACTTTTAAACAAGATTAACTTTTTAACAAAAATTATTCAATATGCAAATGCATGTAAATTGGATTCATTTGATACTCGATAATCTTATGATAAACTATGTCTATATTTCTGTATTTGTTACATTCTGTTTGCTGTAACATTGACATATTGTGGGTTTGTTTTATAATAGCCATAAGGTTTGTTTGAATTTTTTCGACATAAACCTGGTTTTGATGATAAATGACCATGGCAAGTCTAGACTTGAATACCGCATAGACAAGGAGGTTATTCAAAACATACAGGAAGCGTTAATTTAATTAAAACCAACATATTATTATAAAACCTAAACCTTTATTGTTAATTATGCGATCATTAATATTATAGAATGTAAATTCCTTTGCAAGATACTGATGTCAATATAATGAAGGCAGCAAATACTGAATTGATGAATGTTGCTAGGAGAGATATGCCTTCAGTATTCCAAAATAGATCATATGGAGGGTTGTGTCAGGAGAATTGGATGGCTGCTGAAGTTAACAGTGAATTATCCAGTAGATGGATCACTGTTGCCAAAATCTTGTCAATGTTGCTTGATTGTGACTTAATCAGTCCTGGAAAGAAGCTACCACCCATGTGCTTGATACGTGGCATAATAATAATAATTAACTTTGAAACAAATGATAGCGATATTTATTTTATTTTATCACAACGACATTTTGATGCTTCTTGCATCATTTTCAAGTTAAAGATAAGAATTATTTGTGGTTTGCTTTAAATGAATTATAACAGTCCACATGTTTGTATCACATAGACAAATAATTGCACAAGCATGCAAAATTCTACTAAATGCACAAGACAAAAAAATACTAAAATATTAAAACAAAAAACATTTAACTATTTACACGTAAGACAAACACAACAAACAAGATTAACAAATTAATATTAAGCAAAAAGCCTAGAACGTATCGAGTCAGACTGAGTGTTCAAAGATGGTTCCTGTTACCAAATGTACAGCATCTCGTAGAGAAGGCACTCGTACTTCCCTCGACACTTGCGCAGAATCGAAAAGCAGTTCTCAATCCTTGATGAGCTCTCTCCATGATGATCACACATATGGATTCCTACCACTGATCCCTTGTGTTCATCAATGCGTTGATGTTGTTGTTGTCAAGTATAGCCAATATAATCTGCATCGCATAGATCACATTTAAATTTGTAAACAATGCATTGATGATTCACAAGGGGCGGTTGACATCATCACGAACCTTTCTGCTTGTGAACACCAGTCGTAGGGCTTTCCCTACCAATGATCCAAGACCTGTGAGTTGCCTTCGCACAATATCGGCCGATTTTTATCTTTAAACAGCAAGATAAGGCACACCACGTTTTCTTGCTGTTTCCTTGATGTTCCCTTCACCTCCTCGTACTGCTTGTCGACAAACCCCGGTATTACTGAATCAACAAATCCAAGTGGATATTGGAGATGGACGAAAACGTTCTTCAAATGCTCATATTCCTCGACAATGTGTTTCCATCATGATGACAAACGAAATGCACGGTTTAACATAGTGATTATAAGCAAACATTAGGCAAAACACTGGCAAACATTTATGGCAAACTACTGGCAAATGGCAAAACTGGCAAACAGCTATGGCAAAACAGCACAAAACGTAATAATAAGTTTAATTAGAATTTTTTTGTAGAGTCATGTGATCTGACAATACCAGGGTCTTTCACAATGTTTAACCACATTTAACGGCAGAGTATCTGAGTTTGGTGGTGTCCAAGGCTAGTCAGCGATCTAGCCTTATCAGGCAAATGACTGCAATGGCAAACATTTGTGGCAAACTACTGGCAAATGGGAAAAAGCATGGCAAACAGCTATGGCAAAACAGCAAAAAACGTACTAAGGTTAATTATAATTTTTTGTAGAGTCATGTAACCAGAAAATACCAGGGTCTTTCGCAAAAAGACCCTGTGTACAAGTATGTATTAAGTAATGTGGCCAAACTGTGCCCCTTTGCACTATGGCAAAACAGCAAAAAACGTAATCCCCGAGCCGACGGCGTGAAGCGCCATGCGAGGGTACTAATTCCCCCTGCTATTTACACCCAGGGAAACGAAAGCATTAGCAAAGTCTAAAGTTCATCAATTATCGCGGGCGTGGGTCACCAACGGTGTTTGAGTGTTGGGTGTGTGGTCATCCTCACTAATCTCAAAAATATGGCGGACTGTCATGAATAGCGGACACTGATTGGTCCAATTTAAAGTTTGCATTATAACGACTGCATGACGACGGCGAAATAGCAAACATTTCTTCATTTCTTGATAAATGTCTTGCAAATATATTTCATTTTTGCTCGCATTTTGGCAAGATTTTGTAAATTTCAAAAGATTTCTCAGAAAGAAAGGGCGAAAGAATCAGCTAAAAGAAGGGAGCCGACGTTAACGAAGGTAAGTTTGTTCTAAATATTGATTTTATAATGACTTTAGAACCTGACGGCCTTTGCGTATATGAAACAACTATTACAAGACAGCATATAATTTCAGTGTATCTTTAATAATATTGATTCCCTTTTTTATTATATTGAATTTTTTAAATAAAAAAGAAAGCAAAGTCATTTGCAAGCGAGAATTTGAAATAATTTTATTGCAAACTCAAAGTTTATCGATAAAGCCATTTAATTAAAGGCAGTTTAGTTTTATAAAGAACACTTTAAAACGTTTTGCGAAGCGTTTGTGGTTGAATTTTACCTTAAATTGAAGCTTATATTACGTATAATAACATACCTATAACATATATATGTTGGGAAATTGATAATTTTGTAATTAAAAGTGATATTTTTAGGCGATTTTTCATTTGTAAGAATCTTATTAAATTATGAATTATCGTGTTACCATGACAACTACTTTAGATACTTCATGTTCGGAAATGGTTTTGTCAGCAAGGTGAGGGTTTCTGCATGCATATGTATTTTCTAGTAATAAGGTTGATTATAGTAGCAATAGGAGTTTGCCATGACAATTCTGCCAAGGCAGACCTGCAGAAACAGTCAGTCCCTTCAAGTACATAACCACCTTTATGCACTTAAACAGATAGTGCCTTGGCAGATTGCCATGGACAATGGACTGCAATGTACCACCAGCACCTACCATGGGGGGAAGGGGATTAACAGGAGGTTGGGTAAAGAACAAACAGAAACACAAGCCAGACTAACAATATTTATATTCATTTTAACACCCTAATTACACTAGCTAATAAATTACACAGTGTTCGTATGGTATGCCAGGTAAGCTGAACTTCTCCATCGTCCTAAAGTTCTGGATCATATGCTCAGGAACGCCAGCCAGGCCTGCTGTAGTAGCAGCACCAATCCTGAAACTACGATACTATACCAGCCTGGCTCAGCAGTCGGTGAAGACGCTGTACAGGTGTAAAAACTGTACGTGTCAAGGGGGTGCCATTGGAATGGACAAACAGAGGGCTGTCGGCACCTCCCGGGATCTCCAAGTAGCTAAGTAGCGATTCGACCAGAAACAAGGGAGAATGACCCTGACCCAAAGTCAGAGTGCACCCTTGCCGAAAGGGATCGGTTTTAGATACTTTGATAAGCACTTGAAGACAAGACGGATCAACTCTTCGGTCAAAGGCAACATCATGTTGGGATAAGTGAAGAGATGGAGAATAGAAAGTGCCATGAGGTACAGTAAACTCAGATGATCGCAAGAAACCAAAATATGCCAGACAACAAAAGGCCCAGAACAAAACGTGATTTTAGACCACGAAGTCCAAGCAGTAATAAATTGTGTTAAGAATGTCCGGTGTAATTGGAAGATGCTTATCTCAAGAGCCACCATTGCAAGGCTGTCTCCACTTCAAAGAAGGGAAAATCAGCTTCAGCAGAACATGTGTCACATGTGTGACACCAAACATAATAATGCATGGGAGAATTCTGAAATAATTACCACAAACAATCACTATGGTCAAAACTATGCCTAGAAGCGTGGCATATAAATATGAGTAATCATGCTTTGAATAGGGATGATGTTGCCTATTTCCAGAGGAATACATGCATCTTACTTGGCAGGTGATGTCATCCCTTGGGTATTTAAGAAGCCACAATTGCAACTTTAGATCACCCCTGATGAAGACACTAGACTGGAGTGTCGAAGTGTTGGGTCTTCAATTCGACTGGGCTTTGTATTCATTTATTTAAACCAGAGTAGCGAGTGAAAACATGATTTACATTTTTATCACTCAAAAATAGAACACATAAGTTGCAATTATTGCAGTTACAATTTATTTTACCATGCAAAATCTGCATGCCATGTGACCAGCCCATGCCATGTGACCTTTTAGATGAGAAAAATTCTTACACATCGACCACGCGACACAGGCATGGAATACTTTTTTGACAAATTGTTGATCTGTGATTTCCCATATATATTTTGTTTTGAGAACGTCTTTCATTATCATTATAAGGTGCTTGTTTAGTTGCACTTTAGTCTGGTCGTTGAAGATGAATTGAAGGGGTTACCCGGAAAAAAATGGTATAAAGCTGGTTTTGGTGTCAATTGAAGCGCAATTCTTAGTAGAATAACATATGCAAAATCCGCAAAAATCGTGTTTGGGGAATTTAGAGGGGAGGAAAGAATTGAGTATAGTTGTTACGGTGGGCTAAAACAACATTTTTTCATCAATATAAGCGTAATTTTGACAAACTATTTTTTGTTAACTTAGTGGATATAAATTAGTTAACTACTTTTTTTACTCTATATAAATCTATGAATCACCAGTCTTCTACAACTGGGGCTCCCTGTGGTACATATAAACAAAATCGCGTCCTGTTCTACAACTTGTTTTTAACTTATATTGAAGAAATTCATTCATTTAAAGGATAAATACGAAACAACAAATCGTGATCCAAACATCTAACATAAAATTGAAAAATGGTACTCGGAAAAAAAAGAAAGAAGACATCAACAGTGAAGCAGAACGAATAGTAACTGCTGCACCAAAGCTCATAAAAGCTGAAATACGAGAAAGAAAATATGATTCCAAATCATATCCAACTAATGATGACATTGCAGACGTTAAACGAAGCAAGAACTGGATACCCCATTACCTACAAACACTCTTGACACATATTGTTCCTTCAGAACTAATTTAACAGAACAGCATTGGACACTGCATTCTTCAGGCAGCCCGACCAAGGTCAGTTATAGCTCCCACCCTGTTTGGCTTAAGTGTTGAGGTTAACCATGTATTTGGATCAAAGTTGCTAATCAATGAATTGTCACGGTTGGGTTTCTCTATCAGTTACGATGAAGTGAACAGGTATAAGCAATCTGTTATTCACAGTGAAAGCCTTGAAAACCTTCTTGCAGAGTACTTTCCCGGCACCTTTACCCAATGGTTGGCAGATAATGTTCACCATAATGTAGCCACCACTAGATGGCCAGGGAACATTCCACGGAATGGGAATTATTGCTGTTTCCTCCCTGAAAGATGACACCCCCTTCGTCTCAAGATCGCATGTGATCAGTAGACAACCGCGTTTGAATTTGGATGAGCTGGTAAATGATAAAGGAGTACCAATTTTCCAGTACACTAGCCCACCAAACAACGCAACGGATATCATCAAAACAAAATCAATGAAAATAGTTTGCAGTCTTTCACACGATGATGAGCTTTATGGGTAGCATTGGCTCTATGATGAAAGGCTCTGGCCTAGAGGAGGCATTAGAAACGGTGTACGGGCCTAATGCAGGAAGGCTTTTTCGAGACCTCTGCATGGATACTTGTTGGTAGAGTCTGCTTTAGTGAATAAGTTAATGATATCAGTTTTACCATGCGAATTGAACGAAGACGATACATTTGAAGGTACTGAATCGGGTGAGATATCGATGGACACGCTTGAAATGGTAAATTATGAACAATGTTCATCATGTGTTATGGAAATTGAAACTGCAATTGCAACATCTGTTAGAGAGGTGGAAACAGGTACTAATCCAGATTGCGGAACTGAGATTACGGAGAATCTTCAGGACTCGTTGATCGAGGCCAAGATGGAAATACCTTTTATGCGTAAATCTGTAAAATCCCAACTAGCACAAGCCCTCGAGAAAAGTGTTCAGTCCTCTGGAGAAAACCAGCAAGCCATGCATGTTCTCGATTGCGGAGCCCCTATTCATAAAGTGAAATGGCAGAAGAAGGTTACATACAAAGACATAGCTGTGCAATATGTAAACTATGTGCGTACAAGATATCGCGACTGTTGTATTGTGTTTGATGGTTACGGACAGGGTCCGACAATTAAAGATCACAAGCACCAGCGAAGAATTGGTAAAACATGCGCTGAAAATATAAAGGCTCACAGTGATCAGCAGACCTTCCTCTCGAACGAGAAAAACAAAAGTCAGTTCATCGCGTTGCTGAATCGATGCTTGGAAGCTGATGGCCAGATTTTGCATAACAGCACGGGAGATGCTGACACATTGATAGTGGAAACTGCTGTTCTATTTGCAAGACAAGAAAGAGAAAGAGAAGTATAAGTAGTAGCAGATGACACGGATGTACTTATCCTCTTGATTTACCACTGGAGCGCGAATATGGCTTATATATATTTCCATTCAGAGGTAAAGAGATCAAAGAAAGGTTTGAAGGTGTGGAAAGTTCAAGACTTTGTTAACAAAGCTGGCAAAGTTGTAACATCCCATCTCCTGTTTATCCACGCATGGAGTGGTTGCGACACCACATCTGCAACATATGGGCATGGCAAAACCAGTCTTTGAAGAAGATGAAAGAATCAGAAGAATTGCAGCGGATATCTTTCTTTATAACCAATAATGAGGCTACAGTAGAGCAGATTGGCAAAGCAGGTATCTGGTTATACGTTATCCTATATGGTGGCAGAGCAAATGATTCTTTGAACAGTCTACGGTACTCTCAATACATGGAGATGGTACTTACAAGAAAAGCATCAATTGATCCACAGAAGCTTGCACCTACAGACAGAGCAGAATTTTTTCACAGTTTGGGGGTTCACTTGCAAGTTATAACTTGGTTGAAGCTCACAAATGATCACCTGAATCCAACACAATGGGGTTGGAAACTTGCTGATACAATACTAACACCAGTTCTCACGGACTTGGATGCACACCAGAATGGTTATTAAAGTTTGTAAGATGCAAATGTAAACTATCTTCAAGAAATCCATGTGGTAATAACAGTTGCTCATGTTGTAAACATGGGCTGAAATTTGTAACAGCCTGTGGAGACTGCAGAGGAGACAGTTGACAAAATGCTGAGGAGATCCTTGACAACAAAGACAATGTTGACATTATTATTATTATTATTATTAATCAATTGATAAATTACATATCAAGTGTTACAAAACAATTTTTAAAATATATTACAAGTTTTTAACATTAAAAATTTTTAGGTTATATTAAAATTGCAAAGTTAAATTATATCTAAAAATACATCTATTGATGAAACTATTTTTAAAACGCTCGGTAGAAATGTTTGGCCACTGTGCCTCTTGTGTTCTAAGTTTAACTGTATATTCTTTAATTTTTGGACAAATTTCTCTTCACGGATGATTGTTTTGTTTATACAGCTTTTCAAACAGCTTTCTATCTGTCTGCTCTAACAGTATATTAATATCTATTTGTTCTGATGTGTGTCTTCTTTTATAACAACAAGTTAAGAAGTTTTGAATAGTTGTTAACTCCGGTGGTGATGCAGAAATGACTGATAAGCCATGGGTAAGTTGTGACAGGACCAGTGACCTAAAAAGAAGATCCAATTTGTCTTGACTTTATCCTTCATTCCTCAGCTTTCGAATTACAAACAAGCATTTATTTGCTTTCACCAACTTTTTCTTAACACATTTCTCAAATCTGCTTGTCATTTCAAAGGTTAGCCCCAGTATTTCAAGACTAGAGTGCCGTTCAAAACCATAAATTGGTGATACACAATCTTCTGGTTGTCCTTTCTTTAATATAATCACATTTACCCTCATTTAAAGGTAAAGAGTTTGATTCGTACCAGTCCTTAAATTCATCTATAGCTTTAGAACTACAATCTTGGGTATTCTTCAAAATCGGTACCAAAAGTGAGTAATCATCCGCGAATTTAACAAGGGGGGTGTTGGAACAGTTTTTAATCTCCAAATCATTAATAAATAAATTAAAGAAATGTGGTCCGGTTACAGTTCCTTGCATAACTCCCTTGTTAATATCTTTCCACTTGCATGTCGTTCCTTGGAAAACTATTCTCTGTCTTCGATCTTTTAAGAAATTTAAGTACCAATTTACTAAATAAGGGTTCATAGAACTCGATTTCAATTTTTCACTCAGTTTTGCGTGTTTTACATTGTCAAATGCTTTGGAAAAATCCATTGCAATTAATCTCACTGCATCACAATTTGGTTCTTCTAGTGCTTTCAGGTACATATACTGTAATTTAATTAAGGCGTCTGTGCTACACCCACCGATTCGATAAGCAAACTGGGAAGAGTAATAACTATTGATTTCAACATGCAGTTAACAGTAACAATTTTGAGCAACAGTTGCACTTATTTACTTCAATGAGGGTTAATCAACACTTATTTTTTAGTTTTTTTTATACCAAATTTTGCAAAATATGGTGGAACCCTACACTAACAGTTCTTTAAAATATGGACTAAAGTTAAACTAAAAACGGCCAGAAATCTACATTTTATTTCACGAAACGTTTTCTGGTAGACCATATAATCAAGATTAAAGCAATTCTGTATAACGAAATTTGTTACTTGGTTTTTAATTTCGAAGCAAAAATTTGGCTCTACAAATTTTGTACTAACTCGTCAAGACAATCGATTGTAGTACAAAAAAAAAGTTTCATTAAAAAAATGAGAGTAACCGACCAAGTTAAGTGCGCCAAAATAATAAGATATCGGCCTTATTGAATCGTTATTGTTGCCATAGTAAGGTAATGATGTCACTTTTGTTACCAATGGCCGACTCTTTGATTGTTGCTCTATATATAAGGTATTCATGTTTTGTGTTCCAGTGAGTAACATTCTTCAAAGGGTTTGACTTTAATTATGAATAATCCATATTTTAATGAACAGTAGGGAGCCTAGCCTGCATGCAGTTCCAGACTCCCAAAGGCTATAGGGAGCCACCTTAACACACTCATAAAACAAATTCCCCGTTTAGGATTTTTGCGGATTTTGGATATAGTATTCCATGGCACATTATGCTTCTCTGGTGTAAAAATCATCTTTATACCATTTTTTTCCCGGTCAATATGCTCAACGACCAGACTACTTTGTGGATGAATTATGTGAAGTGGTGTTATTGCCATGAGTATTGATATCATGGATGATTGAAGTTACAGAGTCATCTGCAATGTAAACAGCTTGGAAAGTTGTTTTCTCCTTTGTAGTAGTTTCCTCTTATTGTTCAAATTTGATTTGTTTGTGCCTGCATTTAAATCAGTGTTTGCAGATGATGGCTTCCATAGTTTGTTGCTCATCGTTAAGCAATTTTAAATCAGAAATCATCATTGTTAAATAGCTTTAATTAATCTAATGAACCCGACCATCTATATACGATATGGCTCCATTGACTGACAAAACTACTTGACATGTCGAAATTCTTGCTTATATTTTCAGGTGTAGTTGTATTTTATGTAAGGATTGCTGCCAAGTTCTTTAAGCCCATGTTTACATATCGCTGATGCACTCATGGGGTTACTGCCATTGAGTCACTGCCATATGACTACTGGAAAAAATACAGTACAATAAGGAATGAGATTCCTGTAAGGTCTGAGAATGGGATTATCTCCGCAAAGCAAATGGTTATAACCAGGGGTCGGTTATTCAAAGCTGTATAAGATTCCCTGTACGAGATTCTCTTCTTCTAAAAGAAGTCAAAGTGAAATGGGGAAAAATCCCAACGATTCCTTTGTGCATGCCTTAGCTAATATGAGCCAGTCCATGTTGTCTATAAGCAATGCTATTGCTAGATCTATGGAAGCTTTTGGCAACTCATCATGACTTGCACCTTACTGCTTGGAAAATCAAGTTACTCAACAACAAGGTAACAAGTATTTTCAACTGCAGCCAGTCAAGATCAGGATTTTACCAACAAAATCAGTGAACAAACTTTTTTATATGTACATTTTCTGTTTCGGGAAACATTATAAACAACTCTTTATAACTTTAATTGCTGTGTTGCTACTAATCTATGCTATCATACTATTAACATTATAAATGTTTAGTCAGGGACAGTACAACAAAATGCAAATACACTGACACTGTTAAAAAAAAACAAAATATGATCAGACAGATCCTACTGGAAACATTGATATTTCTTAAAAAAGGTTAAATAGGTATCAGTACTGTGGATGTGCATTTTAAGCAATAACTTTACTGAAATGAAATAATTGATTTCAGAAATTGTTAATGCCATGTGTTAACTCCATTTTTTCAAAGAGAAAACAGGTTAGTTTGTCGAGGTTTTGCATTTAATTTAGCAAAAAGATGCACACTTAATATGTACTCTACCAGAAGTAAATAAAAATATTTCCTACGGAAATATGGTTTTTTATGTCAAGCCTGAATTATAGTGATAAGATAAAAGTAGGAAATAGTTAGATTGGATTGTGGCAGATTAAGGTGGGACTTGGCGGAGAAGGAAATTCCGGTGCTTTTACCTACGTAAGAAACATCAAGTCAAGGCCAAATTTTAGCTACTAAAAGCAAAGCAAAGTTATTGACTTCTCAATTCAACCTTTCTCGTGATCGAGTGAAGACATACGAATTTTCTTCCCACCTCCTCCCGCTGGCCTGCCGCTTTGTATTTTAGTTTGTTGTTTTTTTTGTACATATCATTATTATACCTTTTTTGCCTAATTGGCATGTAGTCCTGCCACCTTTACTGGCAATGAACATTAACAGACTCAAGTTATTAACTCAAATTATCAATTTTAATGATTTTATGATATTTCTAATTAAATGACGAAATTTTAAATAAAGCGACTGTGAATCAATTTCACAGCCAAATTATCCCAAGTCAAGTGTTTTGTTTTGCCAGTAAACTGAGCTCGTTAAATGCAACACCTCGTGAAAAGCAGGAAGGCAAAGACATAAATCTTATATACACTGTATGTCGTTATTTAGTGACAAGTATGCTGTTTGTTCATTTGTTATTATGATCATCAAAAAACTTCACCTTCAGCCAAATTTCCTGAAAGAACTGGATGTGGCTGGACATTCTCACTTTCATCCTCATTTTTGTGTTGCTCAATATGAAATTTAACCAGTTCAGAATCAATTGCACATTTATTTCATTATAGTATATGATTGATTCATTGAAAGAGTTTTGCAAATTACAATATCAGATTTCAAATATTGTAAACGTCGTAATTATCTGTGTTACGCAGTTTAGCAGATAATTGCTATCTAATTGTTTGATATGCAGAATAATGTTCATGCAATTAGCATTTCTTTGTTATACAAATGCTATATAAGCATCAACGTTATCGTTGTTCGGTCTCGCTGCTTTCACGTTACACAGTTAAACATGGCTCAGACTGATGTTCCAGCTGATATGAAGGACTTTATGGAGAAATCTTTATCCCAGATGTGTCGCCAACTTACATCTGTTGTGGACGACAGGTTTACGCTTATGAAGAGAGAGTTATCCGCTGAAAATTCAGCAACTCTTGATGCGATTAGTGGCAAAAAAGCTTGCTTGGATAAACACGTATTCAAGTCAAAAGGGAATGAACAGCAATACCAGCATCAGCTTGGGCTACTCGACACCTTTGACGGCGCCGCCACCGCACTTGAAAACCAAGATACAGATAAAGCTATGTCTCTTCTCCAAGAAGGTAAAGCCGCTATTCATGGCCGGATCAAACTCATCAAGTTAGCTGATAAGAGTGAGCATGGTAGGCGAAGTGTGCGAATACGACGATCAGGTTGGGTCATTCTCTTTTTATTTAAATAGTGATGACGTTCATCAATCATCAGTGGGTTTAGTTAGTGTTTGCGGCGGACTTGCTCGGTCTTCCATGTATTGGAAACATACACTCAACGCTTCGCAATTCGTTCAAGACATAGTCGATGCGGGTTATAAAATTCCAATTCAGTCAATTCCCGACCGTTGTTTTTTAAATAACAACAAATCTGCTAGAGATCACCCCGGTTTTTAAGAGGCGATTTTTAAATTATTGGAGGGTGGATACATCGCCGAGCATGTAGAGCCGCCAATACTGCATAAACCCATTGTCAGTTGTTAAAGGAAAAAAGCTAATATTAGTTTTAGATCTGCGGAATGTTAATAAACATCTGTCCGCACAGCCTTTTCGCTACGAGGATCTCAGATTGCTAGCTCAGTTGTTTGAAGAAAATTTTTTGTTTTTTACGTGGAATTTAAAATCTGGTTACCACCATGTCGACATTTATGCACCAAATAGAAAATTTTTAGGGTTTTAATGGCGCAGTGCGAAATTTCACATTTTCTGTGTTGCCGTTTGGCCTTGCTTCGGCATGTTATTGTTTCACTAAACTATTGCGTCCATTAATAAAGAGATGGCGCGGAATGTCTCATGCCGCCTTTGTTTATCTGGACGATGGAATCTCGGGGCATAAACAGCGCTTAGATGCTGTCGCTGCTAGTATAATTCACAAGAACGATCTAACTTTATCCGGTTTGGTTGCTAATGATGAGAAGTGTCATTGGGGAACCAATGCAGGTTGGGGAATGGCTTGGCCTTATCATTAATATCATTAATTTCCATTTTGAAATTCCGCCTCGCAAGATAGAGAAAGCTAAGAAAAATATTGAGTCTGTTTTGTCCTCAAAGTGTATTTCATATAGAGAACTTGCTAAAATTGCTGGTTTTATTAATTCTCTCTATTTAGCTGTGGGGCCTTCGGTAAGGCTTTTCACTCGGCAGCTTTTTTATACGATTTCCCAGCGAGGCTTCTGGTCTGATTACCTTACTGATATTCCGCCTCTCCTAGTTGAAGAATTAAGATTTTGGTTAACTAATCTTGGCTGTCTTAATGGGTACTCCATGACGCCCAAGGTGTCGGCCGAACCACTCTATATTTATACAGATGCTAGTAGCTTTGGTTACGGCGGTTATTTGGCCTCATTGCATGAATTTAAAGCTCAGGGCCATTGGACTTTGCAACAAAAAGTCAAAAGTTCAACATTCCGAGAATTGTTAGCTATATTGCAGGTGTTAAAAGTATTCCTCAAGCATTTAGAGCATAAGAGGATAAAAGTATTTTCAGACAGTCAAAGTGCATGTTGCATCGTTCTAGTTGGTAGTAGAGTACCCGAACTTCAACACATTGCAGTTGAAATTTTCAACCTTTGTTTTTTCAATGACATACAGATTGAATCGCAATGGATACCTCGAACACAAAATCAGATTGCAGATGCATTAAGCA